CCTCGGGGCCCTGCCGCTGGCTCCTGCCTGCCCACACTGGGGTCAGCCCCGGCTGCTCCTGGACATGGAGCTCGGGTAGGGCTGGTGTTGTGTGGGCTTTGCTGGCGGTACTACGCGGACACTGGGGTAACAGCTCCATCTCTTTATTGGAACAGATGAAGGGGCCATCACCTACACTGGCAGATGGCCTCACCTTCAGTGCTGGTTAGAGGGAAGGGCCAGGGGGCTCAGGGGCAGAGGAAGGGCCATGTAGGTCTCAGCTGGGGCTGGAGGGTGCTGGGCTGGTCCTGGGGTCTCTACAAAAACTAAGGAATGGGCTAGGCCGGGGCAGAGGAAGATCAAAAGTGGGACTGAAGGCACCTTGGGGATACCCATGGGGACAAGATCTACAGGGTTATAGGAAGATGCCTTCATCTCTGCAATGGCTGCTCCAGGGTCCTCTTCTCAGAGCTCTTGAGAGAGCTGCCCAGGCCCTCATTACTGAAGAGGAGCTGTTCAAGCTGCCCGGGTGTGTAGTGCAGCCACTGTCCTTCAGCTGCTTTCCAGAAGTGCTCCTGTGGATAGAGGAGGCGGCTGAGGCCCCCAGCTGCCACTGGCACACAGGGACCCTCCTGCCCAGCAGGGCCCAGAGCTGCCAAGGCTCCCCAGCACAGCTGCAGCTGCTGGCACACCTCGGCCCAGCTGGACAGCTGCCCCTCAAGGCCCCAACAGGCAGGGGATGGCTCTGGGCAGGGTCCCTGGCCAGGAGCGGACCCCAGAGTGTGTCTGCCTTTCAAGGCCAATCTCTTCCCCTCTCTTCTTCCTCCCTACCTAGCTTTGCCTCTGCCTGCTGCTCCTAGGGCTGCTCTTGGCCAGGTGGCCTCAGTGGCAGCCAGCTCTGGCTGCAGCCCGAGTGGGCTCCCCAGAACAAGGCCCCACAGTTAAGAGACCAATGAAAGCCCTGGGCAGCAGCAGAACTCTCAGCAGAGTTCTTTGGACAGCCACTGAGTACCCACAAGTCCACAGCAGCCTCACTGAGAATGTTTCCTGTCTACAATTGACTTGCAAAGGAGCTGTTTAAGCGAAAGATGAACAAAACACTCACCGTTTTCTCTTGCAGACATAGCAGATTCCAAAGCAGCCCATGAAGATAAGCTCCATAGCAAGCAGGCCTACTGTTATCCCTAGCCAACAGCGTGTTCCTTGACAGAAACCCCTTTCAATGCCCTTTTGGGAATCAGGAACGCGTGTTGTGCCGCTTGCATCTGTGGAAGCAATGGGCAGTGTGAGCCTGTGCCGTGCTCCGCTGCTGAGCATGGTGGGTATGGCCCGGCCGTTCTCTGTTTCCCCCAGAGCTGGGGCCTGCAGGCACCTTGCTGCCCCTTGGCACAGGCTGTGCCACCTGACAAAGCCCAGAAGGCCGGGAGCAGAGCCCGGGGGGGCAGCGCAGCTGCTTGGCCAGTGGCTCCTTCCAGGGACTCAGGCCAAAGCCATCCCTGAGCAGCCACTGCCACCCCGGCTCTCCCTGCTCCGTGACAGCTCCCTGAGCGCAAGGGGACAGAGCCAGGCCCTGCCAGGAGCCAGGGCAGGCCCTGCCCAGTTGGCAGCAGGGCTCCCACTCAGGGCTGCTCCTGTGCCTTGGGCCTCTGGGCACTCAGGGCCAGCTCTGGGAGCAGTGGTAGCAGGAGGGATGTTGGTGAACGAGTCCCATTTCCCAGGGGCTGGGAAAGAGCTCCAGAGGCCTCAGAGCTGAGGTGCCTCAAGCTTTGGTTGTTGCTGGGCTGTGTAAGTGCCGGCCCTGGGGGGAGAGCTGCTGCCACACAGCCCCGCCGAGGGCTGAGCCCAGCACAGCAGTTACCTCCTGTGTCTGGGCCTGTGCCTGGCATCGCCTTCTTTCCTGCAGTAGAGGCTGCCAACGAGCCACTGCTTCCTCTGGGAAGTGCCTTCTTGTACTTAGCCTTTTGGTCCACCACTTGAGAAAGAAGAGGGATATCAAGATCAGGTGGAAACATTCTCCGTTGGAGAGGTAGCATCTTCAACAGGTAATGCTTGTCAAATTCACATTTGAAGATCAGGAAAATGCCCATGGTGTTGGGGCTGGAGCAGAGTACACCCTCGTCCAAACAGCTGCCCCTCCTGATCTGCCCTGGGACCAGAAAATTGCAGGGGTTTCAGGGTGTACGGGCCTGAGATGCACCTTGGGCTCCCTGTCAGCTGATGCTAATGCATGAAAGCAGCAGTGGGGCTGTGAGGCTGCCATGGATCCCTTCCTGCTGTGCTGGGCATGGCGTGTCCAGATGTGCAGAGAAAGCCCCCGGCTGCTGAGTGTCAGGAGGGGGTTGAGGGACATGGACCCAACTTGTCCTCCCTGCACTTCTTTCTATATATGTATCAGGAGATGATTTGATGCTAGAGACTTTTTAGTTCCAGTATCTTGGGTCTTTCTTTTTGGGGCACCTTAACAGAAAGTATTTCAATTTTCCAGGAATGGATCCCACAATACTAGTCCTCAGCCTGTGGGGTCAGCAGGGACACACCACTTACCCTTGCGATTGGAGTCAGGCTTGGGTGCAGCAACCAACCCAGGAGCTGGGAAAGACCTCCCTGCAGACACACCTGTAACTGAACAGCCACAGAAGCTTCTCTCATCTCTGCTGAGCTGCACGGGCAGCACTGAGCTGCAGGAGTGGGGAGGGGATTGTGCAGGCTGAGGGCACACACGTGCACAGCTCTGCCCTGGTGCCTGCAGCGATGCCGCCCTGGCCAAGTTTTGGGCTCTGAGCTGGCAGCTCTCCCTGGGGGATATGCCTTGACCTACCCTCACCACCTCCCAGAGCCCCAGTCCTGGGTGTGGGTCGAGAAGCTGCATCACCTTCACCAAGAGGCTTTCCTGCAACGACAGGAAGGACAGAACAGCTCTCGTGGCTCTGTAGGAGATCCTCAGGATCCCTGGGATTGCCAAAAGGCACAGCCCTGGGACACAGCCCTGGGCCTGGCCCCTTCCCTCTCTGCTCTTCTCCGTGGCTGCACAGAGCACATGGAAGGTGACTCTGCCATTGCACATGGGAAGATTGACAGCTAAATGCTCCTTCCTCTCACTGACAGGGATCCTGTGGCATCACTCAGGGCTCAAGAAGGGAGTGGGGTAAGCTTTCCAGGATCCATCACCCCTGAGATTATGTTAAGGGGAATGACACATGGCTGAGCTCTTGCCACCTTGCCACCGATTATTCTCTAGGTAAAAAGGGGAATTGAGAACTTGCCTCCAACATCCTCCAAGAATTTCAAGCCATCTTCCACCAGGGCTTCCAGATAATCCATGTCACTATCCCTATCTACAACGAAGCGCATATGAGAACCATTTTCAGTGCACTCTGGCATCCCCTTCTGCCTTAGGGAGCTGGGTACTGCAAGGGGGTCGGGTAAGGCCGTGGGAGCCAGATGTCAGTGGACACGGCCAAAGCTGCAGAGGGGCCTGGGGAGCTGTGGGCTGGCTCCTGGTCACTCTCCACCCTCTTTCCATGCCCTGTGCAACATGCCTGGAGGGGAAAGTGGGGCAGCCCAGGGCTCCTGGGAGCTCTCTCCCCTCCCACAGAGGAAACCCTCCCTAAAACCCTGGGGAAAACAGCAGTAGGCAGTGCCACAAATATCCCTTCCTTGTTCCATCCCTGCTGCCCTCCCTCTGCTGGGACAGCTCCTGCAGCCCAAAGGGCAAGAGCCAGGAACTCTCAGGATGCAGTGGAGCCTTGCCCTCCCCCTCTGCCCATTCCCCACCATGGGCACCCCTTTGCAGCCACTGCCAGCTTATGGGATGTGTCTCCCACGGAGGGACCCCAGCAGGACTGCCCAGTAGCCGGGTGTCCTGAGCCTGCTGGGGATAATTCCTCTGGGCTGTGCCGGTCTTGTCTGGGCTGTGCCTGCACTGCCAAGCAGCAGTGATGGCAGCTGAAGCCTCAGCAGGGCTCAGGCCCAGAGGCACAGCAATTACCTCCTATGACTGTGCCTGGCATGGCCTCCCTTCCTGCAGCAGAAGCTGCTAATGAGCCACTGCTTCCTCCGGGTAACGCCGCCTTCAGCACAGCCTCTTCATCCACTTCTGCAGAAAGGAAGAGGCAGAGCTGAATCAGATGGAAACATTTCCCATTGGGCTGGTGGCATCTTACAGAGGCAATGCTTGTCAAAGGCATGGTTAAGGATCAGGAAAATGTCCAGGCTCTTGGGAATGGGCCAAAGCACTTCCTCCTCAAAACAGCAGCAGCTCCTGATCTCCCCAGAGATTAGGAAATTGCAGGGGATCTCAGGGTGTGCATAGCCTGTGGTGCACTTGGGGCTGCCTGTCAGCTGATGCCAAATGCCTTCCTGCAGAGACCAGGGAGAAGCTGCAGCCACGCCAGGCTGGGAAACAGCCCTGCAGGCCGTGAAAGCAGCAGCGGGGCTGCGAGGCTGCCATGGATCCCTTCCCGCTGTGCTGGGCATGGCGTGTCCAGATGTGCAGAAAAAGCCCCCGGCTGCTGAGTGTGAGGTGGAGGCTGAGGGACATGGACTCACCTTGTGCTCCCTGCTGCATTTCCTTCAGCATTTGCCACATGACTTCAAATGGCTCCAGGGATTTCTTGTCTGATGTGTGTTTGGTCTTTCCTGTTGGAGGAACTTAACAGAAAATATTTCAACTTCCCAGGAATGGATCTGAGAAAAGCAGTGCTCAGGCTGTGGGGTCAGCAGGGACACCCTACTCACCTCTGCCATGGGAGCCTGGCTTGTGTGCAGCATCCAGCCCAGGAGCTGGAGAAGTCTTCTCTGCAGACACACCTGCAACTAAAGAGCCACAGAAGCTTCTGTCACCTGGTTCCTGCCAGGTTGTCAATGATTATTCCTCCATGGAACACTGAGAACGTACCTGCAGGCGTCCCAGAAGGCTTCCAAACTTCATACTGCCAGGCTAATGGAGGAGCCTTCCAAGCAAGCTCATCTAGAAATAAACCAAGATGAGAATCATTCCCATTGAGTGCCAGGGCTGGCTGTGGCCCTGGGCTCATGGCAGGGTGCCCACTCGGGGCTGCTCCTGTGCCTTGGGCCTCTGGGTGCTCAGGGCCAGCTCTGGGAGCAGCTGCAGATGGAAGCACGATGGTGCTCAAGTGCCATCTCTCAGGGGCTGGGAACGAGCTCCAGAGGCCTCAGAGATGAGGTGCCTCAAGCTTTGGTTGTTGCTGGGCTGTGTAAGTGCCGGCCCTGGGGGGAGAGCTGCTGCCACACAGCCCCGCCGAGGGCTGAGCCCAACACAGCAGTTACCTCCTGTGTCTGGGCCTGTGCCTGGCATCGCCTTCTTTCCTGCAGTAGAGGCTGCCAACGAGCCACTGCTTCCTCTGGGAAGTGCCTTCTTGTACTTAGCCTTTTGGTCCACCACTTGAGAAAGAAGAGGGATATCAAGATCAGGTGGAAACATTCTCCGTTGGAGAGGTAGCATCTTCAACAGGTAATGCTTGTCAAATTCACATTTGAAGATCAGGAAAATGCCCATGGTGTTGGGGCTGGACCAGAGCACACCCTCCTCCAAACAGCTGCCCCTCCTGATCTGCCCTGGGACCAGGAAATTGCAGGGGTTTCAGGGTGTGCATGGCCTGAGATGCACCTTGGGCTCCCTGTCAGCTGATGCTAATGCATGAAAGCAGCAGTGGGGCTGTGAGGCTGCCATGGATCCCTTCCTGCTGTGCTGGGCATGGCGTGTCCAGATGTGCAGAGAAAGCCCCCGGCTGCTGAGTGTCAGGAGGGGGTTGAGGGACATGGACCCAACTTGTCCTCCCTGCACTTCTTTCTATATATGTATCAGGAGATGATTTGATGCTAGAGACTTTTTAGTTCCAGTATCTTGGGTCTTTCTTTTTGGGGGACCTTAACAGAAAGTATTTCAATTTTCCAGGAATGGATCCCACAATACCAGTCCTCAGCCTGTGGGGTCAGCAGGGACACACCACTTACCCCTGCGATGGGAGTCAGGCTTGGGTGCAGCAACCAACCCAGGAGCTGGGAAAGACCTCCCTGCAGACACACCTGTAACTGAACAGCCACAGAAGCTTCTCTCATCTCTGCTGAGCTGCACGGGCAGCACTGAGCTGCAGGAGTGGGGAGGGGATTGTGCAGGCTGAGGGCACACACGTGCACAGCTCTGTCCTGGTGCCTGCAGCGATGCCGCCCTGGCCAAGTTTTGGGCTCTGAGCTGGCAGCTCTCCCTGGGGGATATGCCTTGTCCTACCCTCACCACCTCCCAGAGCCTCAGTCCTGGGTGTGGGTCGAGAAGCTGCATCACCTTCACCAAGAGGCTTTCCTGCAACGACAGGACGGACAGAACAGCTCTCGTGGCTCTGTAGGAGATCCTCAGGATCCCTGGGATTGCCAAAGGAGTTGTGCAAGGCACAGCCCTGGGACACAGCCCTGGGCCTGGCCCCTTCCCTCTCTGCTCTTCTCCGTGGCTGCACAGAGCACATGGAAGGTGACTCTGCCATTGCACATGGGAAGATTGACAGCTAAATGCTCCTTCCTCTCACTGACAGGGATCCTGTGGCATCACTCAGGGCCCAAGAAGGGAGTGGGGTAAGCTTTCCAGGATCCATCACCCCTGAGATTATGTTAAGACGAATGACACATGGCTGAGCTCTTGCCACCTTGCCACCGATTATTCTCTAGGTAAAAAGGGGAATTGAGAACTTGCCTCCAACATCCTCCAAGAATTTCAAGCCATCTTCCACCAGGGCTTCCAGATAATCCATGTCACTATCCCAATCTACAACGAAGCGCATATGAGAACCATTTTCAGTGCACTCTGGCATCCCCTTCTGCCTTAGGGAGCTGGGTACTGCAAGGGGGTCGGGTAAGGCCGTGGGAGCCAGATGTCAGTGGACACGGCCAAAGCTGCAGAGGGGCCTGGGGAGCTGTGGGCTGGCTCCTGGTCACTCTCCACCCTCTTTCCATGCCCTGTGCAACATGCCTGGAGGGGAAAGTGGGGCAGCCCAGGGCTCCTGGGAGCTCTCTCCCCTCCCACAGAGGAAACCCTCCCTAAAACCCTGGGGAAAACAGCAGTAGGCAGTGCCACAAATATCCCTTCCTTGTTCCATCCCTGCTGCCCTCCCTCTGCTGGGACAGCTCCTGCAGCCCAAAGGGCAAGAGCCAGGAACTCTCAGGATGCAGTGGAGCCTTGCCCTCCCCCTCTGCCCATTCCCCACCATGGGCACCTTTTTGCAGCCACTGCCAGCTTATGGGATGTGTCTCCCACGGAGGGACCCCAGCAGGACTGCCCAGTAGCCGGGTGTCCTGAGCCTGCTGGGGATAATTCCTCTGGGCTGTGCCGGTCTTGTCTGGGCTGTGCCTGCACTGCCAGGCAGCAGTGATGGCAGCTGAAGCCTCAGCAGGGCTCAGGCCCAGAGGCACAGCAATTACCTCCTATGACTGTGCCTGGCATGGCCTCCCTTCCTGCAGCAGAAGCTGCTAATGAGCCACTGCTTCCTCCGGGTAACGCCGCCTTCAGCACAGCCTCTTCATCCACTTCTGCAGAAAGGAAGAGGCAGAGCTGAATCAGATGGAAACATTTCCCATTGGGCTGGTGGCATCTTACAGAGGCAATGCTTGTCAAAGGCATGGTTAAGGATCAGGAAAATGTCCAGGCTCTTGGGACTGGGCCAAAGCACTTCCTCCTCAAAACAGCAGCAGCTCCTGATCTATCCAGAGATTAGGAAATTGCAGGGGATCTCAGGGTGTGCATAGCCTGTGGTGCACTTGGGGCTGCCTGTCAGCTGATGCCAAATGCCTTCCTGCAGAGGCCGGGGAGAAGCTGCAGCCACGCCAGGCTGGGAAACAGCCCTGCAGGCCGTGAAAGCAGCAGCGGGGCTGCGAGGCTGCCATGGATCCCTTCCCGCTGTGCTGGGCATGGCGTGTCCAGATGTGCAGAGAAAGCCCCCGGCTGCTGAGTGTCAGGTGGAGGCTGAGGGACATGGACTCACCTTGTGCTCCCTGCTGCATTTCCTTCAGCATGTGCCACATGACTTCAAATGGCTCCAGGGATTTCTTGTCTGATGTGTGTTTGGTCTTTCCTGTTGGAGAAACTTAACAGAAAATATTTCAACTTCGCAGGAATGGATCTGAGAAAAGCAGTGCTTAGGCTGTGGGGTCAGCAGGGACACCCTACTCACCTCTGCCTTGGGAGCCTGGCTTGTGTGCAGCATCCAGCCCAGGAGCTGGAGAAGTCTTCTCTGCAGACACACCTGCAACTAAAGAGCCACAGAAGCTTCTGTCACCTGGTTCCTGCCAGGTTGTCAATGATTATTCCTCCATGGAACACTGAGAACGTACCTGCAGGCGTCCCAGAAGGCTTCAAAACTTCATACTGCCAGGCTAATGGAGGAGCCTTCCGAGCAAGCTCATCTAGAAATAAACCAAGATGAGAATCATTCCCATTGAGTGCCAGGGCTGGCTGTAGCCCTGGGCTCATGGCAGGGTGCCCACTCGGGGCTGCTCCTGTGCCTTGGGCCTCTGGGTGCTCAGGGCCAGCTCTGGGAGCAGCTGCAGATGGAAGCACGATGGTGCTCAAGTGCCATCTCTCAGGGGCTGGGAACGAGCGCCAGAGGCCTCAGAGATGAGGTGCCTCCAGCTTTGGCTGTTTCCAGGCCGTGCAAGGACCAGCCCTGGGGGGAGAGCTGCTGCCACACAGCCCCACCGAGGGCTGAGCCCAGCACAGCAGTTACCTCCTGTGTCTAGGCCTGTACTCGTGTGTGGCATCACATTCCTTCTGGCATCAGAGGCTGCTGATGAGCGACCACTTCCTCCAGGAAATGCTGCCTTCCACAGAACCTCTAGGTCCATGTCTTGGGAAAGAAGAGAGACAGCTAGCTCGTAAGGAGCTGTTCCCCATTTGAGTGGTGGCATCTTCAGGAGGCAGTATTTGTCAATGACAGGGACCAGGGAAATGCCCAGGTTATTTGGGCTGGGTCAGGCCCCTCCCTCTTCCAAACAGCTGCCCCTTCCAATCTGCTCAGAGACTGGGAAATTTCAGGGGATCTCAGGGTGTGCATGGCCTGTGGTGCACTTGGGGCTGGCTCCCTGTCAGCTGATGCCAAATGCCTTCCTGCAGAGGCTGGGGAGAAGCTGCAGCCACGCCAGGCTGGCAAACAGCCTTGCACGGCATGAAAGCAGCAGTGGACCGTGCCGAGCATGGCGTGTCCACATGTGCAGACAAAGCTCCCAGCTGCTGAGTCTCAGGAGGAGGCTGAGGGACATGAACCCACCAGGCCCTTTCTGCAATTCTTCCACTCTTTGTTTCCAGATGTCCTTTGACTGCAGGGATTCCTTCTCTCCTGTACGTTTGTCCTTCTCTCTCGGAAGACCTCAAGAGAAAATATTTCCATTTCCCAGTGGATCCCACAAAACCAGTGCTCTGCCTGTGGGCTCAGCAGGGAGACGCTACTCACCCCTGCGATGGAAGTGGGGCTTCTGCACACCAATCAGCAAAGGAGCTGGGAAAGTCCTCTCTGCAGACACCCCTGTAATTCAACAGCCACAGAAGCCTCTGTCACCTGGTTCCTGCCAGGTTGCCAATGACTTTTCCTCCATGGGACACTGAGAACATACCTGTAGGAGGCGCAGAGGGCTTCAAAACTTTATGCAGCCAAGCTAATGGAGAAGCCTTCCCAGGAACATTATCTGGAAGGGAGCACAGATGAGAACCTTTTCCAGGGTGTGCTGGCATCCCCTTCTGCCTTAGGGAACTGGGCACTGCAAGGGGGTCAGGTAAGGCTGTGGGAGCCAGGTGTCAGTGGACAAGGCCAAAGCTGCAGAGGGGCCAGGGGAGCTGTGAGCTGGCTCGTGGTCACTCTCAACACCCTTTCCATGCTCTGTGCAACATCCCTGAAGGGCAGACACTGCCCAAGCAGCAGCGATGGCAGCTGAAACCTTAGGAGAGCTCAGGCCCAGAGGCACAGCAATTACCTTGTGTGACTGTGCCTGGCATGGCCTCTCTTCCTGCAGCAGAGTCTGGCACAGAATCACTGATTTCTTCAGAAAATGTTTCCTGCTGCACAGGCTCTCGTTTCATTTCTGGAGAATGGAAGAGAGACAGCTGGATCAGATGGAGCTCTTCCTCCTTGCAGGTGTGCCATCTTCAGGAGGCAATATTTGTGAAAGTCTAAGGAACAGCCAACAGGCAGGATTTCAGGACTGTCGCAGGTTGGTCGCTTCTCCAAACAGCCCCTGGACCTGATCTACCTGGAGACAGGGAAATTGCAGGGGATCTCAGGGTGTGCATGGCCTGTGGTGCACTTGGGGCTCCCTGTCAGCTGATGCCAAATGCCTTCCTGCAGAGGCCGGGGAGAAGCTGCAGCCAGGCCAGGCTGGGAAACAGCCCTGCAGGCCGTGAAAGCAGCAGCGGGGCTGCGAGGCTGCCATGGATCCCTTCCCGCTGTGCTGGGCATGGCGTGTCCAGATGTGCAGAGAAAGCCCCCGGCTGCTGAGTGTCAGGAGGAGGCTGAGGGACATGCACCCACCTTGTGCTCCCTGCTGCATTTCCTTCAGCATTTGCCGTAGGAGTTCAGATCGTTTCAGGGATTTCTTGTCTGCTGTATTTTGGATCTTCTGTCTCGAAGGACCTTAGAAAAGAAAGTATTTCAATTTTCCAGGAATGGATCCCACAATACCAGTCCTCAGCCTGTGGGGTCAGCAGGGACACACCACTTACCTCCGAGGTGGGAGTCAGGCTTGGGTTCAGCAACCAACCCAGGAGCTGGGAAAGACCTCCCTGCAGACACACCTGTAACTGAACAGCCACAGAAGCTTCTCTCATCTCTGCTGATCTGCACGGGCAGCACTGAGCTGCAGGAGTGGTGAGGGGATCGCGCAGGCCGAGGGCACACATGTGCACAGCTCTGTCCTGGCGCCTGCAGCGATGCCGCCCTGGCCAAGTTTTGGGCTCTGAGCTGGCAGCTCTCCCTGGGGGATATGCCTTGTCCTACCCTCACCACCTCCCAGAGCCTCAGTCCTGGGTGTGAGTCGAGAGGCTGCATCACCTTCACCAAGGGTCTTTCCTGCAATGACTGGAAGGAAAGAACAGCTCTCGTGGCTCTGTAGGAGATCCTCAGGTTCCCTGGGACTGCCAAAGGAGCTGTGCAAGGCACAGCCCTGGGACACAGCCCTGGGCCTGGCCCCTTCCCTCTCTGCTCTTCTCCGTGGCTGCACAGAGCACATGGAAGGAGACACTGGCATTGCACATGGGAAGATTGACAGCTAAATGCTCCTTCCTCCCACTGACAGTGATCCTGTGGGATCACTCAGGGCTCCAGTGGGGCAAGGTTTCCAGAACCCATCACCCCTGAGATTATGTTAAGGAAATGGCACATGGCTGAGCTCTTGCCACCTTGACATTGATTATTCTGGCAGGAAAGATGTATTGAGAACTTGCCTCCAACATCCTCCAAGAATTTCAAGCCGTCATTCATCAAGACTTCCGGATAATCCATGTCATGATTCCCATCTAGAAGGGAGCGCAGATCAGAGCCATGTCCATGGTGCACTGGGATCCTCTTGTGCTTCAGGAAATTGGGTACTACAAGGGGTTTGGGGAAGGCTGTGGCAGCCAGATGTCAATGGACATGGCCAAAGCTGCAGGGGAGCCTGGGCAGCTCTGGGCTGGCTCTGGTCACTCTCCACCCTCTTTGCAGGCCAGGTGCAACATCCCTGGAGGGGTGGCTCGAGCAGCCCAGGGCCCCTGGGGACTCTCTCCCTCCCACAGCAGAAACCCTCCCTTAAGCTCTGGGGAAAACTATCCCCAACGCTTCCCAGGGAGAAGGCAGCACTGTCCTAGGAAAGAGAAGCCAGGCCTTGGGCTCACCTGCTCTCTGTGCTTGCCAGGGAGCAGCCTGGGCAGCCCTGTCAGGCAGGGCCACTGCCAGGAGGAGCAGGAGGAAGAGGCGCAGAGGAAAGGCCATGGTGCCTTGCCCTCTGCCAGTCCTCCAACTCTTGCTGCCACCAACGTCCTCAAACCGCTGTCCAAGTGTCAGCACCGCTGCCACCGCCGCTGCTGCCGCCGTAGCCGCTGCCGCCGTAGCCGCTGCCGCTGTAGCTGCTGCCGCCGCAACAGTTGCAGTCAAGGACTGACTGCTTCGTCCTTGTGGTGCTGTGCAACCACAGGGCTGTGGGACTTCTGTGACCTCAGAGCCTGCCGTGACCTCAACCTGTGTGACCTCAGAGCCTGCCGTGACCTCATGGCCTTGGCTGTACCCCCTGAGCGCACTCCCATCGGACTGCCCTGATTGTAAATCTTTTACTTCATCTATGAGCCTTTGCTAAACAAAACCTTAGTTTTGCCTGCTGACACTGCTGGTCAGGTGTCGCTAGAGGACACAAATTATAGAGCGAGGGTTCCAATCACACAGAGCAAGCAGAGGTTTTTCAGGAAGCAAAAAGCCTTTATTTTGGGGTTGTACCCCTGGGCCGCTGCAGCCCCGAGCCGGACTGCCCCAGGAGGGACCCCGGGAGGGACCCCGGGAGGCATCCCCTGCATGCCTCAGAAGAGACTCCAGCCCCACTGCGTGCAGCAGGAGGGACACAAAGCACCAGCAGGCTGATGGGAGCCCACAGCCCTCTCCACAACTGCACTAAGAACGCAAATCCCCCCTTCATGTACAACTGCACTAAGAACGCAAATCCCCCCTTCATGTACCTCAGGAGAGACCCCCATCAGCCTGCACACCTTGAGAAACATCCCAACCCCCCTGCACGCCTCACACAGGATTCCAGATCCCTTGCATGACTTACAGGGAACCCCAGTGCCCTCCATAACTTGGAGGGAACCTAAAATATCACTGTTTGTCCCACAAAGGACCACAGCCTCCCGTGCACATCATGGAGCACTCCAAAACTCCCACATACCTTAGAGGGAAGCCCAGTCCAGCTACACTGAGTGTTTTCACCTGGAAATCCAAGTGTAGTTGCAGCTGGGTTCTTGTGCCTCCAGTGCTGTTCATCAGCCCCATTGGGGCCCACAGCTACATGGCCTTTCCCTTCTGGCCCTTGCCCAGAGGAGCAGAGCCTGTGCAGCACCGTGTAGGATTGGTGATGGCCCACCAGTTAGGACCTATCAAGGGTGTGTTAATTAGGGAGAAACTTTGTTTTTCCTGCTGACATTGCTGGTAAGACTGCATCACTGGAGATGCTCTTGATGGTTCCCTCTTTTCCTGGGCATGCCAGTGGAGGAGGTCCAGGCCCAGGTGATGCCACTGAAGGAAATGTGCCCTCAGCTCATGGATGCTCAGCATGGGCTCCACCAGCCCTTGGGGCCCTGCCGCTGGTCATGGCAGCCCCAGCCTGGCTCCTGCCTGCCCACACTGGGGTCAGCCCCGGCTGCTCCTGGACATGGAGCTCAGGTATGGCTGGTGTTGTGTGGGCTTTGCTGGCAGTACCACGCAGACACTGGGGTAACAGCTCCATCTCTTTATTGGAACAGATGAAGGGGCCATCACCTACACTGGCAGATGGGCTCACCTTCAGTGCTGGTTAGAGGGAAGGGCCAGAGGCTCAGGGGCAGAGGAAGGGCCATGTAGGTCTCAGCTGGGGCTGGAGGGTGCTGGGCTGGTCCTGGGGTCTCTACAAAAACTAAGGAATGGGCTAGGCCGGGATAGAGGAAGATCAAAAGTGGGACTGAAGGCACCTTGGGGATACCCATGGGGACAAGATCTACAGGGTTATAGGAAGATGCCTTCATCTCTGCAATGGCTGCTCCAGGGTCCTCTTCTCAGGACCCTCTCTCTTCTCTTGAGAGAGCTGCCCAGGCCCTCATTACTGAAGAGGAGCTGTTCAAGCTGCCCGGGTGTGTAGTGCAGCCACTGTCCT